GAAGCAAGAGACGGGGGGGGGGGGGGGAACAGTGAGGGTACTGTTGCTGTGAATAACACAATGAATTATGCTGTGTTGTCAAGTCTTGGGGCCAGGGTAAACGGATATGATGACAACCACTAGGCAAATGTTTAAAAGCTTGCTCCTCATGCCTCAGCTGCGTAATCAAAAGCCACAATTTTTCTTTCCGTTATTCAATAAGTTCTTGAAAAAGGGTGAAGGGGAATACAAGGAAAGTATTTTAAGAATACCCGTGAATCCTTGTTTCTCTAATCGTGAACACCACTACTTTTTGACTTCACTGAATCCAAGTTAGGCTAAAAGCTGGTACAAAAATAATGGGTCTGAGAATCTGAGCCATGCCATTCACCAGATTTTCGTTACGTTATTCCTTGTTGCAGGTAAAGTACCAATCACATCGAGTTCTCTGTTTTAGAATGCCTTCAAATGTATTGGTTCCAGACCAGATGCCAACCTCATCACCGCCTCCTTAGCCAATTCAACGCCACAAATTTACATTTTTTTTTTTGTCTCCGAGCCCCAGAAGTATCGAGATATATAGTTCAAAAGAAGAGAAATGACACACGTATCAAATGCTTGAATCAAACACCACACAACACGACAATTTGAATAACAGTAAAACACTCCAAACATTGTATCATAGTATCTGTATTCTTTTGCTGTATTTTGTATCCTTGTCACTTTCCATACTTCACAACCAAGGAGAGTATACATCATACTCATAAGAACCAACCACGCTAATTTTTAAAACTACAGCTTTAAACTATTCAAGCCAACTCCAATTTTTAAAAGAAGAAAAAAGTAAATAATCAAATTAGTGCAGTTTCCGTCGTATCATAGTGTGTTTGTTTCTACATCTGAAATGCTCAAATGTCAGTTTAACCCAAAGTAGCAAGACACAAATTTCTTCTTAGGAGTGACTTGAAAATTGTGACAATTCTAAACCAAACACACGCTTAATCATTTTGGTTTGAGACCACCGTATCCTTTATAGGAGGTAATCCTGCTTGAGATTTAAATATTTAACACAAATTCATATTTATTTTTTGAACTTGAGATTTCCGATTAAACTGAATTTATTCTATATTAATTGAACAATATGTTTCAGAAACAACGGGTGTAATTTTCATAATCCAAAAACTATTATGAGAGATTGTGTATACACTATTGACTCAAGAAAGGAAAGAAAATAGTTTTGTAAGCATGGACTTATTTTATTGTTGGTATCTCAGGATTCTAACGTACAATAACAACTCAGAAAATGAAAAGGACCAGTTCTTTCATGAAGAAAAAAGTTTCATAAGCAGGGACTTATTTTAATATGCAGTTTCCATCATATTACAGTGGGTTTGTTTTTATGTCTAAAATACTCAAATATCAGTTTGACCAAAGTAACATGACTCAAACTTTTTCGTTAGTGTTTCGAAAGTCGTGGAAACTTTAAACCAAATAAACATTGAGTCATTTTGGTTTGAGATCCCTGATATCTTTCTTAAAAGGTAATTCTATTTGAATTAGATAGAATTACTATAGATGAACGCCAGATTTTTAAAGCTATTACATAATTAGATTTCAACTTAAACTAAATATAATCCTGCATCAGTTGATCTATTTATGAAAATTGTGTTTATGGCAAATGGAATACACACATAAAACGACTAATTGAACAACTAAATGTATATTCAGAAACAATGGGTGTGATTTTCATAATCCAAAAACTAGTATAAGTGATTGTGTATACACTATTGACTCAAGAAAGGAGACAAATAGTTTCATAAGCAGGGGCTTATTTTAATATTGGTGATCTCAGGATTCTAATGTACATGTACAATAACAACACAGAGAAAATGAAAAGGATCAGTTCATTCATGAAGAAACTATGCTTAGTTAGTTATAGTCATTGAGATAAGGGTTGTTGGATGCAATGTGGCTTGGCATGGGCGGTGGGTAATTAATCTTTTCTCCATGGTAGTGGCACTGGTCAACTTAGGATATAAATTATCTCTCGGACCTATCTATGTGTAGCCCTTCTTTCATGCCATAACTTTACCATGCATTATAGTTAATCTTCTTTTGTCTGCTCATATACTTTCCACTACTTGCATCATTTCTATCCACACTGCTTCACAGATTATATTCTCTGTAATCTCTATGCTCCCTTCTCATCTTTCATTCTTGGAAAGTCCAGCTATGTCTTTGCTTTTATATGTAAAAGTTGCATGTACTTTGGAGACATAGTGCTATCCATCTAAGCTTCTTTTGCATTGATGGGAGACCCCTTGTTGTAGACTTTTATGTCTTGGCTGTTTGTTTTGGCCTTGTTTGATTGGAGTTTAAGGTGAAAAATAAAACCAAAAAAGTAAAAATTTCAAGGTTTGGATTTTCAACTCTTTGATCAAGTACCGAGACTAAAATGAGGTAAATTTTGTTTTTTACTTTGCCCAAGCATTTGCTTTTACATTAACACCGAATATGATATACACATGGACACCAAGATCCGACTAACATCTAAAATATAAGAGATAGTATCTATATATAATTAACATGAAAAAATATAAATTAAAAATTAAGATTTATATATATTCATCTTTAAAGTTGTATAACTTTACAATTTGTATATAATAATCACCCTTAAAAGATGAATCATATTTCTTAAAAATTAAAATAATTAGCAAATTTTATGAAAATGAAGATTCACAAAAATAAAAATAACAAGCTTTTAGGAGCTTTGCAATATTTATAAATAAATTTTCTTTTTTAATCTTTTTTATAATGAACTTTAAATAAGTGTTTATAGTAAAGAATAAGTATGAATTCACTTTCTTAATTTCTATCTAAGTTGTGTTAAAGAGATGTATAAATTGTGTCAAAAAAATGTTCAAATTATGTCTGGACAAAAAATAATTATTTTTAATTGTGACACAATGAAAATGTGTCGTACATATATTTAAGAAGTATCATATCTAAAATATATCGGAATATTTAAAATATATCAGATATATGGCATTTTGTGGATGTATAGATGCCTCTAATTTACTGTTTAGTGTTTAACATTTTAAATTTTTATTCACTCTTTTCATCACCATATTAACCTTTTCATATTTTCTAACTCCGCTTCATTGCACTATAATATTTGCCAGCAGAGCATAACACAAATCAAGAGACACATTCGATAGTTATTGTACAAGTCTAAATGAGCCAAATATGTAGGTTGTTATAGAAACCACGTGATTTATATCAAATAACTTTTGAAACCATGGGGACCATTTCTCCCCCAAGTCCAACCCTACTCCCAACAGAGGATTAATAAATATTAATTAGAAGGCATGAACTTGGACAATTAAGTTTTGATCCTATTCACCCCTCCCCTAGGTTCTCAACTTGTCTTAGATTTGTTTAAAAGGCTATGCATTATTTTAAATTTAATGATGGTCTGCATGAACTTAATACATAATTAAGTCAATCCGCTAATGTTTATCCTCTCTCTCTCTCTGGATAAATACCCATTCCTCTCATATTATTTGTTATATATATATATATATATATTAAAAATATTAATTACAAAAATTACAATAATAAAATTATTTTCTTTATCAAAATTCACCCTAATAAAAAGTTAGAATTTAGTTATCTCACATGTCAAATCTGCTTAATTCACAAAAAAATATGAAATAGAAAGAATCATCTCAATTCATTAATTTCCCAACCCAGTGAATTTTCTTCTCTAACTTGTAAGGAGAGAAAATAGATTTTAGATTGGAAAGAAAGAAAAAGACTCTTTTCTTATTTAGCTAAGAAGGAGAGAGATGAGATATTTAAAATTTAATTTATTTTTAAATCCTTATAATTATATATTTCAAAACATAAGTCATGATATTTTAATCAATACATTTTAAATGTTTAAATTCTCTCTCATCTGTTTCAAATCCTCGAATATCGAATAAAGGCAAAAATGTGATGAAAAGGAACTGTGTTACCTTACAATTTTTTTATCTCTTAAAAATTAAATTAAACAATGAAACTTTATAAAAACATCTCTTCTCTCTTATTTAATTATATTTCCTCCCAACTAAAATCTGATATGTTAGATTGTTAGTGGTTTTCTAATGTGACAAAGACAAACCAAAACATTCAAAGCCACAAAATAAGATGAAATGGAGGGATTTGATCCTGAGCATATATATATATGATATGTTAAAGAGTGAGGTTGTTCACATCACATGCAGAGGTAGATTCATACAAAGGCAGGTTTGAAGCCCGAGGAGGTTCTAAAAGCAGTGAGTTAAAAGAGTGTTGCTATAGTCACCTGAACAGCTGTAGTCAGAAGCGTCAAAATATACAAAATAAACTTGGTGATTCCCAACACTCCTTTGAAAAAAATTCTGTTATCTTTCACTTGTATAGATCCGAAATACTCACTCTCCAAGAGACACCCTTTCTATTTTAATACTCCACTCCATGTTAGAGCTAGCTGAGTGGTCATGGCCACAGTAGAATTCATCATTGCATTTCACATGAAGCCTTTGGTTTTTCTCCTTTGGCTCTTTGTCCCCTCATTGGGCAAAGACTTGCTTAGTTGTGAGACAACTTCACCTGATACCTCTGCCTACCATTGCATTCAAAATGTGCCACATAATAACAACCATAACCAATGTGCAACTTTTGCACTCTTTCTCACCAACTCTTACTATTCTTCTCTCTCCAACCTCACCTCTTATTTGGGACTCAACAAGTTTGTGGTAGCACAAGCCAATGGTTTTTCTGCTGACACTGAGTTTCTCTCCCTGGATCAGCCTCTCTTGCTACCAATTGATTGCAAATGCAAAGGTGGATTCTTTCAGGCTGAGTTAACCAAAATTACCATCAAAGGTGAGAGTTTCTATGACATTGCTGAATCACTAGAGGGCTTGACATCTTGCAAGGCTATTAGGGACATCAACCCTGGTGTGTCACCTTGGAATCTTGATGACAAAGTGAGATTGGTTGTCCCTTTGAGATGTTCTTGCCCTTTTTCGTCTCAAGTTAGACCACAGCCAAAGCTTCTGCTTTCTTATCCTGTGAGTGAAGGTGATACACTTTCCAATTTGGCCTCAAAGTTTAATGTTACCATAGAAGCTATTGTTTCTGCTAATAACATATCATCACAAACTAGAAGTCTTGCACTTGCACCCTTTACCTCTATTCTCATTCCACTTTATGGTAAGCCTGTCATTGGTCCTTTAGCTAAGCCTAAGGAACCAAATTCTGGATTTCAAACAGCCACCATCCCAGTAACAAGTCCTCACAAGAAGTCACCAATGTGGAAAACTGAATTGTGTATTGGCCTAGCTGGGGTTGCACTTGGAGTTTGCATTGCTTTTGCTGCAGCCTTTTTCTTTGTGAGATTGAAGCACAAGAAGGGGGAAGAGAATTCATGCAAAGAAAGAGATATGGAGCTGCAACATCTGAATCAAAGTGTGAGAACCACCTCAACTAGTGACAAGAAAGTTTCATTTGAGGGCTCCCAGGATGCTCTTGATGTGAAGATTGTGGATGCCACACCGCGCAAGATGTTGCTAGAGACATACACCAATGAAGATATGATAAAAGCAACCGAAGATTTCAGCTCAAGCAACCACATTGAAGGATCAGTGTACCACGGTCGTTTGAATGGGAAGAACATGGCAATCAAAAGAACAAAGGCAGAAACAGTGTCAAAGATGGATCTTGGCCTTTTCCATGATGCACTTCACCACCACCCCAATATACTAAGGCTTCTTGGAACAAGCATGTTGTTGGAGGAGGGGAAGGAACAAGAGTCATTTTTAGTTTTTGAGTATGCCAAAAATGGTTCATTGAAAGATTGGCTTCATGGTGGATTAGCCATCAAGAACCAATTCATTGCTTCCTGCTACTGTTTCCTAACATGGAGCCAAAGGCTCAAGATCTGCCTTGATGTGGCAAGTGCCTTGCAGTACATTCACCATGTTATGAATCCAAGCTATGTGCACAGAAACGTAAAGAGCAGAAACATCTTTTTGGATGAAGAATTTGGTGCCAAGATAGGGAATTTTGGTATGGCAAGTTGTGTTGAGAATGACACTGAGGACCCACATTTCTATTCCACCAACCCTGCCTCTTGGAGTCTTGGTTACTTGGCACCTGAGTATGTGCACCAAGGTGTGATTTCCCCAAGCATTGATATCTTTGCTTATGGGGTGGTTTTGTTGGAAGTTTTGTCTGGTCAAACTCCTATAAGCAGGCCTAATGAGAAGGGGGAAGGAAGCATTTGGCTTAGTGATAAAATCAAGTCCATTTTGGTGTCTGAAAATGTGAATGATCTAAGGGAGTGGATAGACAGTGCATTGGGGGAGAACTATTCATTTGATGCAGCTGTGACACTTGCCAACATTGCAAGAGCTTGTGTAGAGGAAGATTCTTCTTTGAGACCAAATGCAAGGGAAATAGTTGAGAAGATATCAAGATTGGTGGAGGAATTACCACAAGGGGAACATAACATGTTAATGTGTGAAAGCTCTAGCAAACCTCTGGTGAAGGCAGTGGAAAACAGTCTTGAATAATCATCCACTGAAGGAAGGAATCAAAGTAGATCCATGATCCTTGATTTTGGCCAATATGTTCAATCCTCGTTGATTTCAGAGCCCGTAGGAAATGGCTACCATAACTAAAAATTTCTCTTGCTCTTGGATTTTTCCATGTATTTTGTCCTTTTTTAATGTATGTAATTACCATAACAAATTAGAATAAGATACAAAACTGTTGTTCTTTTTCTTTGCCAGGAGATAAAAAGAGACACTATGTAACAAAATTCGTCAGAGAAGCATCTTTCATCTTTCTCTTTCATCAAAGACACGGATATTTTGACTGATTCAGTCAAAGATTAACAACAGCAGATGGAGAATATGTAAATTATACTATCATTTTGGCTCACATTTTTGTTATTATCTGGATCTTGGTATAACTTTGGATGCATAATTTACTTGACCATATGGACCAAATCTATTTGTGACCATAAGCTATTGATATCATGCATCTGCTTGCGATCAGAGAAAAATTCATTTTAATAGCACATCATATGTAGTAATTAAATTAAATAAATCTAGCTGAAGTGGACATATATGATTTGAATTTGGAACATGAAATGCTGGCAAAAGCCTAATGACCCCTAGCAAGCAATCTGTCAGACCTTTCTAAATGTGGAAAGTTATAGCATGTACTCTATCGTTAGCATTGTAAATTTCATAATGTCCTTGCCCATCATGAATGAAAAGAAAATAAACATCAATAGAAAGACGAGTAACTTCAAGAATCCCATGGATCACATTATTCTCTACCGATCTTCCACATTTTGATATGGTGACTTGGCTACATACATTTTTTTTTTGATAACTATAATAATGATACAAAATATTTACCAATAGAAATAGTGATTAATTTTTGTCGAAAATTGTGAGTGTACATAATGTGAGTATTTCCCTTCGAACATAGTGTATTTCATATTTAAGGTGAGAATTCAAACCTTAGACAATTTGGTTTAAAGATACAAGTCGATACTATTTGTGTTAAGCAATGTTGGGGATTGTGACTACAAACATCATGCATAGAGAAATTCCTATACAATCATTTTTCTCAACATTTTCATTTGCACTTTTGAATTTTACTTGAATAATATTATTTGCATTTTTTTTATAATCATAATATTGATAAGAAATATCCACATCAAAAGTGTTTACTAGAATGTTGATGAATATGATTTTTTTACAATGATCATTCTTTTTCTTTCTAAGTCTTCAAGCTTTTTGATATAGGTGCTTCAAGAAGGTGACTGTTACTAATTTCTGAGCACCTCTCACAGGTTTGCTTTGTTTATCTTTGTCTTCCTTTCTTTTAGAGAGAAGTGTCCAATAATGCATTAAATGTGAGTATTAAATACATTTCACCAAATTGTCAATACTATTTATCGCCTTTAAGATATCAAATGGAAGGAATTGTTGTGTGTTAATCACAAATGACTTTTATGAGACATTGCCTACTTTGAAAGATTTGTTTGTTCTTTTTCTGATGAAAAGCATGTCTCATTCCTTTTTGAAATGCAAGTATCGAAGAAACTTTTTATTCCTTTTAATTTGTTAAGAAATAACATATACAAATATGCTTTGGTTATCAAACATTATAAATGATATATATTAAATGCATTCGTCTTATAGACGAAGTAGTTTGTTTAAGAAATTACACATCATTATAACCAATCGTCTATTCTAATTCATCTTATAGTGTGATATGAAAAAATTTTCTCTAAAAATGTCTAAGTTTATTAATATTAAAATTGATACCATAAGGAATACAATACAACTTTTTGATCTAACACCCCTATAGTTTTGCTTTTGGCAACACTGAACACTAAATTTTGTCTGGAAAAAAACCAAAATAAAGAGGAAAAAATTATAAAAATAAATAATGACAAAATACAAAAATAAAAAATTGCAATCATTTTTTTTATATATAGAAGTGAAAATGAAAAAACAAATAAATACAAAATACTTAAAGATATAGTTTCCACTCCACTCTACTATCGCAGCCTTTGCAACTTATTTAATTTCTTTGCCTAAGCGTTTGCATCATCAAGTCGAACCTACTACACTTGCATGTCAAAGAGCAATAACATTTTAGCAAAATTTGTGGATCTAGTTTCCACTTGTTAGAGAGCCTGTGTACTTTTAAAAGAAAAAAAAAACATTTTCGAATTTTAGAAGAAAAATGATCACTTTTATTGGATATAAACAACTCCTTTTGTATTAGGCAGGGGAATTGAGAAATTTCTTGTCCATAACTCTTTTTGTTAGGGGTACCCCACACATGTTCACATTGGTCTAATATTGGGACCTAAGCCCTCATAATTTTTCTTTTGGTAATCTCTAAAAAGGCTCATACCAATGAAGCATGTGTATACTTTATAAACTCGTGTTTTTCCATTTATCTTGATATGAGATTTTGTTTGTACCTATAATTGTTAGTGATATAGTATTGATATTTAACACCTCTAAAGAATTTTATATGTTCTTAAAATGAATATTATTTATCTACCAAAAATGATTATAAGGGACTAAAAATAAAGAGTTTAGATTTTAGACGGATGGAAATTAAAGAAAATATTTTACAAGGATTAAAATCAAAATTTACTCATTTTACAAGGACCAAAAGCTATATTTATAAATTTTAGAAGGATAAAAAATAAAAAAAATTACAAGGACTAAAATAAAAAATCATTTATTTGATAGGAACTAAAAACATATTTGTGCCAAATAAAAATGATAATTAAGTGTTCTAATGGATTCACTTTAGTGTATACATCTGTCAATTTTATATTTTAGGATATATGAGTTATGACAATCCAAAAATTCTAAATTTAATAAAAGATAAAAAAAATTAAAAATTCCAACATGCAACTATTTTCTACCTATAGAACTACATGACTCTGATTCTTCATTATACATAGAGATATATAGGAGCAAAAAAATAAAATAAAATATTATTTTTACCAAAATTTGCAAGTGCACCAATGATTGGAATGAAGTCCTATGATGGTAGGAACATCTACAAAGACACTTTGACGCTTAAGTTAGAAAGGAGTCAAAGTTAAGGATAAAATATGGACACATATTAAACACTTTTTTTTATCGTCCTATTGCGAACTCCAATGGCAACAATCATTACTCAAAAGGCTTCTAACCAATAAAATATGTGTATTTTTTATAAATTCTTATTTTTCCTCTTATTTAAAGATATGGAACCTTGTTTATATCTCAATATGAATGTGATGACATGTGCAATGAAAGGTTCTTCTTCACCTTTTTATTCTTTATACTTTTGTTTTTCTTTTATGATATTTTAATATATGCAAATAGTATTTTTTTTTTTATCATTTTAGTCACCCACCTAATATCCAAATGATTATCATGAATGTTGGAGTAGCAAGGTTTAGGCACCCTTTGCAAACAAGTTACGATATCAAGATATGAAATCCTTGGGTTTCTTGATGGATTGGAAATTCTGGTGTTGGAACTATTTTATTTATTTATTTATATAAGTCTCTTGTTTTTGTTAGATTTTCTCTTCTTCCATTTTCCATAAATTCTCTTACCAAAATCTTGTAAATGCTCAGGCGATAAGATGACGTTCTTGTTGAGATTAGGGGAGCTTGGACTTGATGAGATCAAGATCACCTCTGAAGCTTAAAAGAGTTTTGATGATCACAAAATGTGTGTCAAGGACAACAACAAACAACAACAACTTAGAAGACAAAAACAAAGTCAAAGAAAGTGCTATGTAATAAGGATTAGTATATAAATTGTTTTGAATGAGTTTATTTGTTGTGTGTGCTGTGTGCATAAGCTAAATCTATATCTAAACTGATTAGAGAGTGTATGATGATGAGTTAAAGGGACTAAAAAGTTATTTTGAGACTTAAAACGAAGTTTTGAAAACTAACTCAAAATAATCGATTATCATTAAATATAATCGATTATTCCAGCAACAGGCAAAATGGGATGCCTTGCTGCAATAATCGATTATTTGCAAAATAATCGATTATCCCATAAATAACTCTCTGGAATAATCGATTATCCAGCAAAATAATCGATTATATTGTTCTTGGTTGGTTTCCAGAAAACCTGAAGAACAAAATAATCGATTATTCTTTAAAATAATCGATTATCTGGGTCTGAAACTTTTATAAATAGTTTGAACTTTTTGAAACTTCAGAACAGAGTTAGAATTGAGAATCAAATTTAGAAAAGCGTTTTTGTGGAGTCTTTGTGACAATCTTGGAGAGTTTTCTTTGTGAATCCAAGAAGAAAAACGTTTGTGAAAATCTTTGAGAAAGGATCATCATCATCATCACATTCTTGAAAGGGGAAGATTAAGATTTGCTTCTGAATTCCAGGTGAATTCGTTCCTTAATTCTTTGTGAATACTTGTAAAATCTTGAGAAGGGTTTCTCAAGTGGTAAGGATTCTTGTAGTGAGTTTCTACAAGGGGTGTTTTCTTGGGGTCAAGAAAGTGGTTATCTTGAGTGTTGAAGTATATGCATGTGTGGTATGCTTGTAAACCTTCTTCATTAAGATAGTGGAACAAATCTTGATCAGGTTCTGATTGAGGACTGGATGTAGGTCACATGTGGAGTGGCTGAACCAGGATAAAAAACTTGTGCAATCTCTCTTACCCTTATCTTTTACTTTGTGTAATATTTTGATTGTGCATTAAAGAAGATGATTCTTGATTAGCATGTGTGCATGAATATTGTTGGGTTAAACTGAATTAAAGCATTACATTTGAACCTCATTATTTTGTAATCAAGAAAACATATAAAATTCATTCTTCTATAACAAGTCTTTAAAGAAACTTCATTGAAAATTCAGTCTTAGAAAAGTTTAAGTGAAATAAAGATCCTAAATACTCTGAAATTTTTAAAGTGTCATAGAATCCAATTCACCCCCCTCTTGGATTGTGTCATTCTTTTCTAACAGTTCTTACTATTCCAATATCCATGACGGTGAGGAGATACCTATAAAGACACTCTGGCACTTAAATTAAATGGGAGTTTAGGTTAATAATTAGGTTTAGGAAAAATTATATCTAGTGCTCATATATAGATGCATGATTTTATCTCTAGGTTTTGGGATAGTGCATGATGTTAGGAGATATTCTTATTGATTAGCTAAGATATTGTTCATAATTATGTGATCTCGATCCTGGGAGATATGATGCGTGGAGATGATGTTTTATGATATCTTAGAGATATATTATGGTGATTGTGTGAGGATATTCATGCTAAGATATCTTGCTAATTGTTAGGAGTTAATCGTTTAGGACTTTACTTTATGGTGATGAGCTAAAGGCCCAATGTGGGTGAGCAAGAAGAGGTTATCTCAACTTGGTCAAGCTTAGCT